GACCTAATACATTAGTTCAGAACAAAACTTTGTAACCAATGTTTAGAAAAGAAAAAAAAAAATCAGTGCTTATTATAATAACTTATTTAGTTCAAGTTAGTCTTCAACATCTTTAGTCAAATTTCAGTTTTTATTCAAATTACACAAGAACAATTTTGATTTATTTTGTTTCTGAGCTTATAGGATTGATTTGTTAATTTCATTACACTTACGATAGTCTTTAGAAACTAAACATAACTAACACAAAGAACTTACTTTTCTTTATCTGGAACGTCAAGTTTACTTGGTCCTACCAACTGCAAAGTATCAAGTTGTTGTGTAACGTCTTCAACCCAGCGACAATTCACAAGCTCGTGAATGTGAAGAGATGCTCTATAACCAACATAATGTAACTAATATTTAGAAACAAGTTTTAGCTATACAAGACAGATTCACATCATCATCTGAGCTTAGCAATTAAATGATTGTTTTAGAGCAGAGCCACATTCGGCTATCTATTGTGTCAACTGCAGGGAATCAAACACCAGATTTTAGCATCATAAATGCGTGAACTTACCACTATCCCACCTTATACGAGTACAAAGAGGTCATGTGGTCAGTCAAATTGACCGAACCCATGTTGAGAGAGTCAATCAAATACATGACACTAATCGGTGGAATTGATGCTCAGTTTCCCCTTCTTTATAGATTTAATACCCCCAATTTTCAATATAGTGCATATATCTTCACAAAATTTGGCAGTCTTTCAGTTAACATTACAAGTCTTTAACATACAAAAAATCTTATTTTTTTGGTGAAGTATAATTAATAAACTAAAATAAAGGTTGATTTGAATAGTCAGTATGCAAAGTGATTTTCATGTTAAGATAAAAAATACTTTTCGTCATCTCGAAAATCTCAAATTTCATTTGTGTAATCTCTAAGACCTCCTAAAAACATTTCAAATATTTGTTTTCAGTAAAACTTTATATTTGATCTCTTATTTTTCTACCCTGACTCTATACAAAGTTGGTCAATTTGACTGACCTCGTAATCCCCCCCAAAAAATTGAAATAAACCTAAATTACCCTATTTTTGTTTCTATAATGACTTCAAATTGTAACATGAAACTACATTCGTTTATCGTACATATCTTTAAGCTCTTAACAGTATACATCTATTTGTACTTAAATTTTATTGTTTTATTGCCCTTTTGATTGTCCTTTGAACCATGTCTAACTACTATCCGTGCTATTATAAATTGTGAATTACTCGGGAACATGCAGCTCACGTTACACTATCAAATTACATTATCCATGAGCTGCTACAACCTGCTCGCGTGTATGCCTCGTGAAAGATTTTTATTATTTATTTATTTTACTTAATCTAATCATAAATAACCTAACAAAAATCCATAATTTTACATTTTAGTTACTTTTATAATATTAAATAAAGAATAAACATGAAAAACAAGAAAAAGTACTTACGCAATCTTTTTTCTTGCTGTCAATTGTCTATGACACTTATTCCTACTTTTGTTTTTTGTATACTAATGATAGTAATGCACTAAATGATTTTTATTTAATCAAATAATGCACCAAAGAACATAGACTAATAATATGCAAAAAGTAGACAATTTTCCCTAACTCTCAAAATTTTTCTGGCTTTCTCACTATGCGACAAGAGCCGTTACAAATTCATCCATGCTAGTCGTTAACTTTCCCACAGGAATGAATCTTGTACTGTGAGTGAATGCTTTCCTGTTCAGAAGACAATGTTATACATCATTTGATTGATGAAAGCCTTGACTTTCTATTGGTTATAAGCAATATATAATTAAATATAAGAGAGAACTATCAACAAATCTTGAAAAAAGAGGATATGACAGGTGGGTGTGGCAGGAGGGGTTTGACTTTCTATTTGATAGCTCTGTAACCAAACAAAATTGAAGGCTATAAAAATTATGATTTGTCTGAGCAATGACGATTTTATAGTGAGTAATTTATGTTTAATTTCGTAAATTTTGAAGGGGAGGTGGATAAAATGGAAAAGAGACAATGCCTAGAGAAAATGTGTCACGTGTGTAACACTAGGGGAAATTCAGGAATTTTTTTAAGTATTGCCTTATAGAATTAAAAACTTAAAACTTAGACTATTAAAATATGGATTATTAGCTGATATTCTAAGCTATACTAATTGGTATAACATAAACAAAAAGTAGTTTAATAAAGTTTTGAATGTAAGACACTAAAACTTTGTCGCTCGCAGTAAAGGATACCCATGGCGAAAGGCTTAACTGAACTTGTTTCTGATTATTCCTATTACCCAACCCTCATTTACAATAATCAATTAGCTGAATGTCATCAATGAGACCAAAGATTAACCTCATCTCGACGGATTTTGCTATGGGTAGGAGTCAGAGGGCATGTCATCGCGTTTGTAGACTTGCATTCAAAATTTTATGAATGTATGTCAATAAGTTTAGTATCCAACTGTAGATTATAATTCAAATTTTAGTATTATACATTATTTAATTTCTAAATTGAAAAGTAAACATTAAAACAAAATTTATAAATATTGATTTTTGTGTGTCATTTGGTATGTTGAATGCAGCTTTGGTTCAAATTAAATGTTTGTGATGTCCAAATACAAAGTCTATAGTTTCTTACAAATTAGGAACTCAAATTACCGATATTGATAAGCTAGAATATAAAATAAGAACATCCTATCTTTTCTAAGATGTTATGTTTAGTGAATTAAACAAGGTGGCTCCACCCACATCTTCGATTTTGGAAATATATGTTTACGTACAACTACTTCTCTCTGACGTGTATAACTAATCAAAAGCTCAGAATGTCCCCCCCATGTGGTTTTCTCAGTCTTTGTGAAGTGTTTATGCAGGAAAACGTTCCTTTTCCTAGTAGAATTGAAGTGGAGCAGTAAGAGATAATGGAGCTCAAAATATCATATTTTTTTAGACTCAAATACAGGCTAATTAATAAACCTGATAAATTCTAGTGGAATTCTGTGGTATTGATATAGTAATTTAGGATTTTTTGTTATTTAAAAATGCATATGTAAAACCTAAAAAAATCTTGTTTTACATCCTCCACGTGTGAAACGTGAGAAGGCTTGCAAGTTACGGCAAGTACAAAGTTCATAAGTAGAAGATGTCATTCTTTTCTATATTTCTTTATTTACTGTTCTAAGTTTTAAGAAAAATAACTGAAACTTAAAAACTTATTTGTAAATAGTAATAATATATATGCAGATGTAATGTATTATAACTGAAATGTGACTGTATTTCACAAAATACTGATACATTAGAACAAAGCCAAGACAAATCACTTTGTAAAGACCAGTTTTATACTATTGGATATGGTTACATGAGTGCAACGAGCACCTCGTCATTGCAACTTATGTAATGTTAGTGACACGGCTGGATGGTCATAAAATAAAAATTATAAATATATGTTGATGTATAATGTTATGAGATTTAAACTATTTAAACTAAACATTTGTGGTTGGTTGTAATAATTTGTAATCATTCTACAATAAAATAGTGTAATTTACATCTGTTTCTAATTTTTATAGTGTTTATAAGGTCGGTCTAATCAATCAAACCCATAAAGAGATACAATAGTGAAAATAACAGATAAAATATGAAGTTTTTTAAAAAACAAGACAAAAACCTGGAGGTTATTAAGATGTTATAAAAATTTTATATGTGAAATTTGATAATTTTCTGATACATAAAAGTATTTATAAACTTACAATCAAAATTACTTTGTATGTTGGATAGTCAACATTCGAAAAGAAAAAATGCAAGAGAAAATCATTACTTAAAAAATCTTAAAACTTAATAAAAAATAATCTGATATTTTGGGTATGAAAGTCCTGTAATGTTTTCTGATAATTTGCAAAATTTCATGACAATACGTATATAATAAAAGTATTAAAAGTTATAGTATGAAAACTATAACAAGCACAAAACAGTTACAAGGTCAATCCCTGGGACCAAGCCCATAGTGAGAGAGTTGACATACCATTTTCACGGCTATGTAGATAAATCTACTAGAGCATATATGTAGACATTACTAATTACTATAAAGCTGAATTTATAATAAAATATTTTATATAGTTCAAAACAGTATGTTTGTAGGATGATAAGCAAGTCTAAGTTAAAACATTTTATATTTAGTATATGCTTACCTGCAGTGGGGACACTGTGACCTTTGTTGATAGGCAAGTCTAAATTAAAACATTTTACATTTAGTGTATGCTTACCTGCAGTGAAAACACTGACTTTTGTTGATAGGCTAGTCTAAATTAAAACATTTTACATTTAGTGTATGCTTACCTGCAGTGGGGACACTGTGACCTTTGTTGATAGGCAAGTCTAAATTAAAACATTTTACATTTAGTATATGCTTACCTGCAGTGAAAACACTGACCTTTGTTGATAGGCTAGTCTAAATTAAAACATTTTACATTTAGTGTATGCTTACCTGCAGTGGGGACACTGTGACCTTTGTTGATAGGCAAGTCTAAATTAAAACATTTTATGTTTTGTATATGCTTACCTGCAGTGAGGACACTGTGACCTTTGTTCAGTTAACCAACGCTGAAAAGAAAAGAAGCAGCAGAATATTAAATGGTTAATGACACAACAGCTTTTCAAAATTATGATTAAACTTGTAAACTTAATACCACATAGGAAAGGAAAATGCATAACAAAGTATAATTAGGAGTACTAGCTCTTCCTGAATGAGTTTGTTGTTAAGTACAAAGCTACACAATGGGTTATCTGTGCTCTGTTCACCAGAAGAATAGAAACTTGATTTTTTTTTAGTATTATTAGCCCCCAGACTTACAGCTGACTTCATAAGGAGGCTCTGCATGAAAGTGGATATTATTTAAGGTTTTTTCTTAAACGTGTTTTCTTTGTTGCACTTTTTCATTTTATAAATTATAATAAAAATTTCAAAGAGAATTGATAATGAATATTTTGAAAAGCTAAGCCTAATTCATGTAAATTATTCATCAGAACAAAAGTGTTTGACATTAAAGCAGAAGTAGACATTGATGGCATGCTTTGTTACATAACAAGCCTCGTATGATTTAATCCTTTCAACTTAAGAAAAAACAGGTATGCAATAGATCACAGATTCGTAACAAGAGGAAGTTTCAGGAAGTTGACTTTTTGTAAATATTTTATATTAAAAGTTAATTCCAAAAGACATATAAAATAACTTTATTTTACATTAACTCTGACAATTTTACTCTTTTGTATGAAGCCCCATTTCTTTGACATTATCTCAACACTAAAACTTGAACAACTGCTGTGAACAATACAACAGGACTAGTCATGTAATTAAAATACACTACACTAATGTAAAGAAAGTAGTGTATGCGTAATTTGCACAATAAACTGCTTACTAAAGACAACTTAAGTGCAGCATACATGTAGCTCTACCCGAGTTTGAAAGTTTAAGGGTTATTTCTGCAAAAAAAATTAAAAACTCATTTTCAAACATTTCTACCTGTTGTGTTTCCCTACTAAAAAGCTTAGTTTAGCTACCACATTATTGAAGTCATACTTAAGAGAGCTGTTACTACTCAAAACTACAATTATTGAATGGTCACACAATGGCATTGTTGCCTAATTTAATGAAATATGCTTATTTTAGCTTTAGTAAGAAAATTATATATATAGAGTAAAAGTAGCATAGATAAGAGTACAAAATGAATACATAAACAATACTGTTTTTCCTACAAAAAAACATTAACTTGTATATTTTTTTTTATTCAGTTAACTTTTTGAAGAACATTTTTGCAAATACATATACATCAACTTCCCATTTCATACAATTTTATCCATTTAAAAACGCCATGTTTTCTTAGTTTCCAGTTAACTCTCTTGATACTACAAAAGTCTAGAATTTGTAATCCAAATTAACATTTTAACCAAAGCAACTTACCTTATTTTTTAAGAAAATTTTATTAGTTAACAAAAATATGAAATGAATGTTCATTTCCTTAATGCAGGGGTTCCAAAACTACTGGGAATCACAGGAAAATTTCAGGTGGGCCATGGCAAATACATAAAATAGATAATACTGTCAAGGTATTCAGTATCTATGTAGATTCATTGGGGAAAAGAAGAGGGGCTTGGTCAGGATGCAGAATGTTCTGAAGGACATTGTAAAGTTTGGGAACCTGTGCCTTAAGGTACAGATGAAGTAAAGCAATTCAATTTATCTTATACATGCACTTACTCGAATACACATGTAACAGCACAACTTAGAACAATGTGGACACAGATGAGCATCCCTCAATTTTTCCATACAAATGAAGCAGCGAAAAACTTCGGCAAGACTCTGAAATTTAAGAAACAGTAAAATAACTGCAAATATTCTTAGTAAGCTGTTTTCTCTATAAATTTTCTATATTCTAGACTTACTGATATACATGTTTAAGCAACATAATTTTTTATATTTATTATCTAATATTCTTTTGAATGACCAGATAAAAGCACTAGGTACTAAAGTTGTTACATTCAACCTAGAATATGTCACTGTGGAAATATAGAAACACAATTACAGTAATTAACAGACCATGATCTAGTTAGGCAATAACAGTTTAAAACATGTTTAAAAGATTTAAGAAAATTAACTCTACCCAGAAAAAATATACAGAAAAACAAGGATCTGTAACATCAATACTGCCAATACAATTGTAGCAACCTCAATAATTTGTAACTTGCCTAAATCTTGCTACATACCCTAATTTCTACTCACAATTATACAATTCGAGTAGAAGTTAAAACTTCAAAAAGAACAGCCAACATATTCTAGCTAAATGAGCAACATTGTGTGTGTGTGTGTATTTTTTAAATAAAAATTGCTCTAGACAAACTCAAACTGAAATATAATTTCAGCAAAAGCATTGGATGCGAAAGTAATTGTATGGTGATGTAAATGTTCCCAAACCCCATTTCTACTATACTCAAATTAAATTGGATCAAGTCACAGTGAATTCTATTTAATTCAAAACATTCTCATTAACCATTTTTTTTTATTAACTCTTACAATGCTGAGTTAAGGAAGGCTGGTTAGGAGCTATGTTTATAAACTTTATACTATTAAGAATGTTTTAAACTTAAACATGTTACAAAGTTAGTTTCAACAATCACTTTCTAGCTTTTGAATGAGTGACTGAAAAGTTAACTAACCACTCCTTAATGATGATAATTATATATTCTTACAAAGCATCTGCTGATAAACCATTCATCAACAGGGTTAACATGCGTTAAACACTAAAGTCACAAATGATAAGTTTGTGCAATCCTCTACCAGATTTTATAATGAAAAATTAACCGCAGCTGGTCTATAATCATAATTAATGTTGGCATAACATGGAATGAAGAGTAATGTTTAATAACATGGGTTATGAAGTCATACTATTTCTTGTGTTAAAACTGACCAAGAAGGACCTAGTTAATACAACTCAATGTGGAGTACCAATTTATTATATTGGTTTACATAAATAAAGAAAAAAATTAAACTGATTAAAATACAGGCTGAAGTTTTATTTGAAAAGAAATTCGTCACTTTGAGAGTTATAATTTGTTGAACACTTTTTGTTCTCTAATTTGCCTTAGTATTTTTCTATAATACTATTATTAAAATCTCAACAAATAAAAATGGAACAAGTTTCATTTACCTCTACACTGTGATCCTCCATTATAAAGAAACTTGTTAGGATTACTCAAATGTTCAGCCTGTTTCCATGGTTAACTAACAGTGCATATAAGAAAGAAAATACACATAAATACATGGCTTATAGAGACACTGCAAATGAACAGAAAGTTTTTAATATACGTAGTTAAAACCATGGTTTGGATTGAAATAATTCATTATCAAGTTTTAGATAAGGTACGTTACACTGTACTTTTTCATAATAATACCTATAATTGCTTAAGTCTTTACACATTGATTTGCACTGTACTTCTAATTACCAAAACACAGTGCATGTCAAATGTAAAGAGCAAATTTAATAAAGCTTATATTTTTGCCAGAATCTTGGAGTTCAAGATAGATTTTATGAAATACCCAAATATATAAAAGTTATTGTTAACATAAATATTTCTTATGAAATTCGTAGCACAAGCTGATATTTTACCAAAATGAATTATAAACTTAAAAACCACCCTACGAAACTGAAGCTAATACAAGCATAAAATGATAAAACAATGCTGATACCTTTGTCTACATTTGGTATGCTGCAAATCTAACCCTTTTTAACCCGGAAGAAGCACATTTCTATTATTTAATGGGCAACAAGGTTTCTGTTGGTCCATCTAGGATATCTCACCCATTTTGAAAGAAAATTCAAATCCAGCCATGGTTTAAATATTTATCAGGCCATCCTTTAAAACTACTGCATTTACCACATCTGATTTCCTTGTTGTCCTTCAATTACATGTTATATGAAGGTAACCAGTTCTGAAAGCCAACCACCCTGTTAGAAAAGTAAAACTATGATCAAAATCACTCCTATCCTGTCAAAATCTGTATTCCCTTGTCCCACCATTCTTACCAAACACACATAAAAATATGCAACAATACTATTAACTTCCACAATATTCTTAAACACCTCATTCAGATATATTCTTTTGACTCTTCTTTTTTAAAGAGAAAACAATTTCAGTGATCTTAACCAATCCTCATACAACAGCCTTTCTATCCAAGGTACCATCCTAGTTGCCCTCCTTTGAACCCTATCCAATAATTCAAAGTCCTTCTTAAGGTAAAAAACCCAAGACTATATGCAACACTCCAAATGGGGCTTAACCAGAACCTACAAAATGAAATGATAATCTCTATAAAATTACATTCACTATTTGTGTGAATACAACTTTAAACCCTATTTGCCCTACCACTACCAACTGCACACTGCTTGGATAACTTAGTTTTTAAGAAACTGATGATCTGGAAAATCATCCTTCACTTCCAAGGTTTTAAGCTTATTCCCATCAGATATATACACTTACGATTTGAATTATGACATCCAACATGCATTACCTTGCTTTTGTTATAATTAAAAGCTACCTGCCAGTTAATTGTCCAACTCAACAAATGATTTAAGTCCTTTTTCAAAGCAGCAGCATTCTCTACAAAGTCAGCAACATCCATGATCTTAATATCATGAGCAATTTATTTATCATTCCTATATTTATGCCCTTGATATGTATCAAAAAGAGCAAAGGTCCCAACACCGAGCCCACTTGTAACATTAACACAATTTGATTGATTTCCATTTATAAAACCCTCTGCTTTTAGCTATAAACTAATCCTTGTTAATTTAGAAAAAGTAGTTTATTATTGAAACCATATGCAAAATATCCTAACCACAGGTTCATACAATTCAACGAGAAAAACCACAGTTTCAGGCATCACTAAAGACAGCATATTTTATAAATAAAATTCTGAATTTGAAAACCAAAATTAGAGATGAATTTATAAAATTGTAGAAGCACAATCTCAAATTAAGAATTTTTTCTTGATTCATTGGGTGGTGCTGCAGAGGTTTCTCAGTTGAAGTGATTTGTCATAGATTCATCAAGGCAAAATCTTGCCTTACTGATCTTTTATCTATTATTTGGGGATGATTCTTGTCTGATTAACAGAAAGACTGTAGACTTGTACTTCAAAAAGACTTCTGAAAAGGTGCAACCCAGAAGATTAGCTAAGAAATTCACATCAGTCAGAACTAGAGAAAGTATATTTAATTAGATAGAAGGTGTTTGGGTGAAAGAAAGCAAACAATTAAAGAAATCCAGTCAAACTGGACCTTATTTAATTAGATAGAAGGTGTTTGGGTGAGAGAAAGCAAACAATTAAAGAAATCCAGTCAAACTGGACCTTATTTAATTAGATAGAAGGTGTTTGGGTGAAAGAAAGCAAACAATTAAAGAAATCCAGTCAAACTGGACCTTATTTAATTAGATAGAAGGTGTTTGGGTGAGAGAAAGCAAACAATTAAAGAAATCCAGTCAAACTGGACCTTATTTAATTAGATAGAAGGTGTTTGGGTGAAAGAAAGCAAACAATTAAAGAAATCCAGTCAAACTGGACCTTATTACAAGTGGTGTGCCTCAGTGGTCAGCACTTGGACAATGCTTTTCCTTATTTACATTAATGATATTGACAGATGCATAACTGGTAAATTAGTGGTTTGCTGATGACACTAAACTTGTGGGTATTTCTAGTTATATTGAGGATATTGAGGTACTACAGAATGACTTGGATCAACTAGTAATTTCAACAACTATATATTTGACAAATGACCTTTAATTGTGCTAAATGCAAAGATAATGCATTTAGGTTATCATTGTTTGGATCACACATGTAATACAGAAGAGAACCTACATAATTCTATATCAAATTGACCGACCTTGTAACAAGCATGTAACTGTGAAACTAACCATCTGACCAAAATTTGGCAAATTTGGTTTAAGCAAATATTACAAGAATGTTGTACACAAAACATCAGGTTTTAAAATAAAGCATTTATACTAAAGATTTGTATACAAATTTACTAAGCCTTTACTAAGTCACGCTGAATGAAGGGTGATTTTCATGCTAAGAATAAAAATACCTTTTTTCATTTTACAGTTTTTATAATTCATTTCCACAACCTCTAGAAACTCCTAAATGAAAATCAAAAATGTTCTTTTCTTTTGGTAAAATTTGATACTTTTATCTGTTATTTTCTCTAGTTTAACAGTAACTGTAGCAAAATTATCAATGTACACTAAAATGACAAGTTAAAAAGTATGAAATAAACTTAAAAACACTTTTTTCTAGAATAACTGCAGATCGTAACAGATGATTACAATTATTTATACCAACAGTTTCAAGCCTCTAAAACCTTCTAACAACTGCTTTCAATTAACTTGTTTTACTGTTCTTTGAACCATGCCCAACTATTGTATCAAAGCAACAAGAAACATTACTAGATGAAAGCTCATGCGTGGTCCTCAAAGAAAGATCATAGATTTTTTTTTATCAAATTGTTTTTCATTTAAGTTTACTTACCTGCCCTAACAAGTTCCTAATTTTATAATTTAGTTTTCTTAAAAACTATATAATGATTAAAAAAATATAAATAAAAACTAAGAAATCTGGCACTCACTCGGGTCTTGAGGCCTTTTACACTTGGGTATGTGGTTTAGTAAGCTATTTTTCTTTCACCATGTTGGTTGTCCAGAAAATAACTCGCATAGCTTTCAAATATGCATTTTAGAACACAAAAATATATCAGGTATTAGAACCAAATGTCAGAAAATTGTTATAATTTATCTGGCTTTCAACTACTGCTCTCTTCATAACCTAACAGTTTTGTTTAGTTAAAATAGAACAGCCATATTATTTATGTAACTTAGAATATATGCTTTATCTGTTAGTTATAAGCATGTCCAATAACAATGTCGGAGAAAATTAAATGTATTTCTTAAAAGACAAAGGAGATGGGAAGAGTGTGTCTTGTGGGTTGAATTAATATAGTGGTGTCTCAGTGTAGCAAAATAAAAGGTAGGAATTTTACATTTCGCCTGGTCAATATCTACAGAGTACATTTCTAAGTGGATGAACAATTTGAATCCCTTGAAAAAATCTATAAATGAGAAATCAAAGCTGCCCCACATTATATGGCTCAGAGAGGTACATATTGAGAAATTATTTAAGTATTTCCTTTTGAAATTAAGAAATTGAAATTTACGTAATATAAAAATTTGAATTACAAACTATTTTTGATGACAGGTTTGTTAATAAACATTGATAACAAAGTGGGTTAATAAAATTTTGAAAGCACCTCTGTAAAAAGAAAAAAAAGGTTGTGGCATTAACACTGACCCTCTTGTGTGCATAGGATTTACAGTGGCTAAAGAAAAGAATCATAGCATTGTGGTAGATAATTCATTCAAGCCATTGAATCAGTGTGGTGTTGCTAGCTGTAAAGCTAATACAATTATAAGCTGTACTTACACACTTACTGATTACATGTCAAATAAAGGTAATATTTTCATATAATATAAATCACTAGTTGGAATCCTGTGTAAAGATACTGACTTTTTAAAAAAGGTTCAGAGGAGGGTTGCTAGAATTATTCTGTGGATAGAAGAGTTATTATACAGTTATAATTTAGATCTTTTAGCTAATTTTCTCTTGAAAAAAAAAAGAGTATGAGGTGATCTTATTGAAGTTTACAAGATTAGCCATAGAACCACTAGAATAAAAGCCTCAAATTTCTTTGTGCTAAAATTGGTTTGTGGGTTTAGGTTTTACTTCTTATCAAGGGTGCGTACAGAGGGACACCTTGAATAACCACATAGATCCCTTTTATCTATATGTTATGGTAAAATCTCTTATAATAATTTAAGGACAAGGGGTCTGTTAGTCCATCTAGGTCATCTCATACACTAAACTTTAAAAATAAAACACTCAAAGTAAGCTCTTTATCATTCAACTATTTGTCAAGCCTTTCTTTAAACTCTTTTCAATTAACTGCATCCACCACATCTGAAGACAACCCATTCCAAAACTCAGCCATCCTCCTAGAAAAATAAAAAAAGTCTTAAATGAGGATGATTCCTACCCTGTTGAAATTTAGTTGTGTAGAGTAGACCTACCATTCTCACCAAAAAGACAATGCATCAAATTAATTTCCTAAACAGTCTTAAAAACCTCAATAAACTCTTAACTCTTCTTTTTTCAAGAGAACATAATTTCAGAAATCTTGCCCTATCCCATTTCCATCCCAGATATAAACCTAGTAGCTCTCCTTTGAACCCTTTCCAACAATTCAATATCTTTCCTAAGGTAAGGAGTCCAAGACTGAATTCAATACTTCAATCAATGACCTATACAATGAAATTACAACTACTTTAGATTTATACTCAATATTTCTGTAAATACAACATATTGGCAAGGATTATTTAGAAAATCATCATAAAATGGAACCTAACAAAAAACACTCAGTAAGAATTTAAGCAAGTACTTTCTTTTTCCTTAACTCAAGTTATTTCAGATCAGGAAAACACCTGTGTTATTTAACTTTGACATCTACTTGAGGCTGCTGTTAATCTCAACAATCAGAAAGCTTTACACTAAACTTTTAACAAAATAATAACGGTTACATTAATTAACATAAAAGAAAAGCATAAAAGGGTCAGAAACTTTGAGAAAACTTGCATGAGTAAGAACACTAATAATATAAGACCTGCATATGAGAAACACCTAAAACCTCCAGCATTTGTTGATTGTGCTGACTAAAATTAATCACAAACGTTTTTACTACATTATCATCCCAGAAATAACAGAAATACATCTCATTTGCAATACTACCAAGCCTATTGTCAATGGTACTTTGATTATTTTAGTCACTTTACTGTTTAAATATTTTTACTTGTACTACTGATTTATGTATCAAATATTTATTCCCATGCAATCACATATTTCTTACTTTTAACTTATCATTTCTCTTTTCTTGTTTTCTATGTTCTTATACAATGTAAAACATTTAAATTTTCAATGAATCAAATAGCCCTCATTAACATAAATGAGACTAATGTGACAGTATTCGTGAAAAAGAAGTCGCAGATTGTCGACGAGTTATAAAACACTAAGCATGATTATGGTGCTGATAGCTCTTTGAAACATGTGTTAATTTTTTTTTATTCTTTTTTGGAGGACTTGGCTGCAAATAATTAATTTACAGTTAACTGGGTGTCGAGACTTGTTTATACAAATTTTAATCTTGAAGAAAGAACATTATTCTTTGTTAAATATGGTCATACATTTACCAAGTAGTGCATTCAATTAAGTCTAATTAGTTATATTGGAAAGACAGTAGGCTCTTATAAAAAAAACAACAAAAAAACCTTAATCAGTTAATGCCATGGTAGTAGTTTAAGTTAATGTTATATTTTAAGTAATAAGATTTTAATATCTAGACTTTCACTTATTCTTCTTACTCTTGTGGAGTCTTACTTTTACTCTTGAGTAAATTAGCAAACTTGTTTCAAATTTAATACGTAGTACAATTTGATGATGATAGCTTTGGATTTAATTTAATTTTTTGCAATTATACTTATGAGTTTTAGTACAGATGCAATTTCATTTTTTAAATTTGCTAACGAATATCGAATGTGGATTTAGTTGTGGCCTCAGTTGCTTGATGACTTACGTGAAATGGAAAGCACTTGCTACTGCTTTCCTCTTTTTTGCATTCTTGCTCTTAGATCATAGACTTTTATTAACTAAAGATCAGCTTCTTTACTTTAGTTCTACAAACGTTAGGCCCAAGATTCCAAAAATTAAAAGTACGATTTACGTATCTACCAATTTAAAAATAAAAGTAATATAATACTACAAAATCAACCAACACTGACAACAGTAAATATTAGATAATAATGAATCACATGCTACCAAATTAATTACCTTAAGCCCTTCCTTTATAATATTTCTTGTCTGATTTCGTTTTTATAATAAATAGTTAAATAATTTTGTTCTCGTTGACACTTCAGTCGTTCTCTAACTTTAAATTTAATACAATATTCAGTATTACTATCTCTTAGAACAATCACCTATAGGCCTACACATCATCAGCCGTACCAATGCACTGTCATACAATTGAGCATGCGCTGTAAGTTGAAAAAATCATAGGTTTTGCATAAGAGATGCAAACTAAGAGATATGGATACATGAAAAATAAAATTTACAATGTGAGGTAACATATACCCTTTACAAAGTGTTATCTAGGTTTGGCCTTTTTATCAGAAAAAAACATCTGCATACTATGCTTTTTGTATGAAAATATATTGAAATAGGTATAAAGAAATATTCTGACACATGTTGTGTAACATTAACACTGTGGCTAATTTGCATATTATAAAAATATACAAATACAAAAGAAACGTCTTATGTTCCTAAAAACTTCTACAAACATGACAAAGAATTGGTCCAGACTTTGATGGAATATGAAGAACTAGTCTGAACTAAGGAATACTCTGAAAATTAATTCAAGGTCAAATTACGGCACTCATGAGTATGCCCTACGTAGGACATATGCTACAGGAACTCGTTAATTGTCATTTAATAAAATCAAACCTGTTATCAACTTTACCTTAACACACACTATTGATAAATTAATAATGCATATTTATGCCAACTGTGAAGTCTATAGCATCAGCAGTTCTGAAGTTGTAAGTTAAAAACCACTATGAGAATGTTAATATTCAGATTTTGAGAAAACCGTGTTTAAAGGCATTTAAATGGAAAAACCTTTTATTTTTCACACTTTTAAAGAGTTTTTAATTTAGCTTGTTTGTTTGTTTTTTTGAATTTCGTGCAAAGCCACACGAGGGCTATTTGCGCCAGCCGTCCCTTACTTTGCAATGTAAGACTAGAA